TTTTCTACTATTTCTAATCTTGATAATTTCGAAAATTATTTATTTACAGGACGCTCCAGAAGTACTGCTCGTGAAAAATTGTTTCAGAAAATAAAAGTTGGATTGAGTGAATAGCTATGCGTATTTTAGAAAATTTTTCTTTGGAACGATAAAAATTGCATAAGTAATTAAGCATGAAATACTCAATGAATTGCCATCAAAATTCATTGGGTAATCCATAAATAAATGGAATGTGATTTTGATCTGAATCCTTCTGGAAACACATTTTAAATTCCTAACTTGAATAGATTATCTGCCTGAGTATTATGTTAATTTAAATGCAAAATATTGACACCTTGAAATCTCTATTCCACAAATAGGCACTACGGTAATCTACCTATTTGATAAATTTGTTACAATTGTTTTCGATATATAATCTTATTTAAAAGCATTTCAGTTTCTTTTTACGTCTATTGAATTAATCTCCAACTTTCTCTACAGTTAACTTTTAGGTATTGCCTTTGACAACATCATAAAGTTCTACCAATTATTACTGCTAACAATGCGTGAAGAATATTTTTCACCTATTAAATTCCGAGTTCAATATGACTAACACATATTCACCTTTTCCTGTCAAACTTTGTCTCGCAAATAAAATTTGGTGCATTAATTCTTCATCTTAACAGATGATTATTTCTTTTTCACGTAAAGGATGAATTTTTACTCGTAAACAATGCTTACTATATGTATTGTCAGTCTGACATTATTTGCTTGACTTTAGCATATCACTGCTTCATGTCTTTCTTCATTTTGATTTAATCATAATCTTAGCGATAATAGCATAAGTAAGTTAAACACCTAGATTCTGAAATAAAAACTTCTGAAGCTTGCAGAGCCTAAGCCATAAAAGAGCAAACTATTATAATTTTTTCGTCTAAAAAATTGATCTGAAAAATTGTTCACAAGATGTATTGATTCTGAGTTGATAGTATTATGATTATGAATATTAAGTGCTTTTTTGTTCCTGAACTTTCATATAATTGCATTGCTTTTCTGCTAAATCATCAATGTCATAATTTTTTTGATCTATTCAGGATTGATAAATCGTTCTTCAGGACAAATATTCAAAATAATTTAATGCTAGCTAATTGTAACCTTAGCTACTCCACACAAAGTCAAAGTGGAATTTTCATAAACTCTCAAAGTGCCTGTGATTTGCAATGAGTTGTTCTGACAAATTTAGCGAAAAATGTGACGCAAGGCTTGGCGTATACGTCTCAATCACTTCCTTTCTACGAGAGAATTTCCTGTCGTTCGTGTTATTGCTTTTTTGTCAAAACTTCCCAAAGTGTATTCTCAGTTTAACTTTATAATTATCTTCTGCGTTTGTAGTCATTTTCACTTCTTCATATCAACTTGTATTCAAAACACCTTTAAAGATTGACCAAAAAAGATTTAGTTTATTTCGCTCATTTTTCTAATCATTTCTGTGAGTAAATGTTTTTTGACTAACTTGTCATTCTAACAAGCTTTTACACAGTATGAGATTATTAGAACGGAGTAGGGTACTGTAATTTCAAGCTTAGGCTGTGGAACGAATGTGAGTATGGAATGATATTTATTTGATCCATTTTGGTCACATATTAAAGTATGCATTAAGTTCCAATCAGTCATACAGTAAGTATTCTTTTAACATCAAACTTATTTGTGAGTTGTTAACATTATTTGCTGCCTATGATATATGTACAGTGAATGTTTATATTAACTCACTGATAAAATATTTGCTTTACAAATTCATTTTTGTTGAAGAATTAAGCAAAATTTCTCATTGATTTACTAACTTTGTGATTAGCAGAGATTTTACGCTTGAATCTGAGATAACTTTTGGAAAAGTTGCTTTTTTCCGAACAAGAAAATAACACTTCAAACCAGTATTTCACTCCATCTCCAATAATCGAATCGAAAAATGACAAAATCCGATTTAGAATACTTTTAATAGGTCGTTGATTTTATAGTTGCATGCGTGTCAGCTTTCAAACTAAACAAAGTTCTCATAATTTGTTCACTGAGACATTACAACATTTTTCTAATTATTATCAGATTTCGTCCTTTGAATCTTTATTTGGTCAATCAGAAATTTCATTTAAAGAAACTAAAGCTAGCTTGGTTTCTGGGATTTATTTTATTGCATCATCGAAATTATTTTGCTAAATGTAAAAATGTATAGTGCTGCAAAGTAGTGAGTGACCAGCTGAAGTATTTATTAATCCTTAATTTCCGTATGCAAATGTCAACTTAATTCATCTAAAACTTATGTTTTGATATAAATCTTACTTTAAGTAAAAAAGTTTTCAACTGTTAAATGAAAGAAAAGTAAGTTTTTTTAATTTCAATTTTTGTTATCAGTCAAGACTGCAAATTGTGGCGAGCAAAAAATTCTGTGAGTAAAATAAAGCCTTTAAAATAACTTTACATACTGTGAGAGAAACAGTTATGGAAATGATTACAGTAATTTTGTTTGCTTCCATCCCATCTATCATAATGATTTCTCATTTGGCTTTATTTTCTTTCGCATATTCAAATTTTTACATTAAGATGCAATTATGTGAATTTTTTGCATAAATATGAATACTTTCAAAAATTTTTGGCACAGAATCTTATTGTTATTTCACTCGTTGCTCATTTCAGCGATCATAACATTTTATTGGTATTAGAATACTTTTGTTGCTGAATTTATGAAAACTTGACATAATTTCTTTTCTGATTGCTTTCTAGAGTGAATTTCATTCCAAACAGTTTTTTTGCTCGAATATTGCATTGCGGAAGTCAGTTTTACACTAAATTATATTCCGGTTCCCAATTAGTTTGACCTATGATACAGTATTCATTTTTTGTGAACTGAACAACGATTTGGAATTTTCACCATACATTAATTAATCAATCTCATTAGTTAATCAATCTCATGATGATTTTTGCTAATATTCATTCTTCAAACCTACGATTTTGCAATGGAAAGTTACACAAATTTATTTATTCGAACTCGTTTGATTACTCAAAAATTAATTAAGCATTCGTTTAATTGATAATCAGTGATAATTAATGATAAATGACTGCCAGTAAACCACTACTTAAATAAGATTTCATGACACATTTTTATAACTTCTCGAAACTTGAATCAGTCAAAACGGATAATTACAGTACTTATTAATATAATAAAGAAAAATGGTTGAACAATCAAAAGTCCGACGATTTTCATCAATGTTCTTGGAGCGCCTACGTGTTTTTGTATGTTATCATAACATTAGTTCATAATCAAACTGATCAAATCGCTTTATTGTCAAGCATTCTTGAGACTAACGAAATTAAATCACTTTTAGTATCAATTTTCCATTAATTCTTCGCATTAACTCATTATTAACTATTAATTTATAATGAACAAATTAGTTTTCTCGCAATATTTCAGATATTGAAAAAAATTTACAGTTTAAAATTTGTGAAAATGTTAACTACATATTGTTTGACTTAATAATATCAAAGTAATGCAACATAGCATTACAATAAACACTCTTGTAGACTGTACATAATTCAGAAGCTAAGATCCGTTATCGATTAAGTATAAATGAACTTAAAAAAGATTGCCGTATTTGATAATTTGGTAATTTTCTATTAATAAGTTTTTTTTAACAACTTGTAAGAGGTCAAACTTCAATATTAAACTGGATTATTCATTTCAGGAAGATCATCCAACGACATTTCATGGTGAAAGGCAGAGATCAATGGTACAGACAGTTACACCTAGCTACAAAAGTGTTACTGAAAGACGAGTCAGTTTATCAGTTCATAGGTCATTTAAGCCTAAAATAATACCAATCATAGTTTTATCTCCAGAAAAGTCATAATTTGTCTGAAAAATGGAAGTGCATGCAATTTTTGCCTGCATAATGTGTTATTCTGTTCAAAAAATGCAAGGTATTTGGCATTTTGTAAAAGTTAGGAATATTTTCTATTGTAAAATTGGTTATTTCTTGTTTTTTTTGCAGAAAATTTTTTGCTCTTTCTAATCACAACTTAATGCGTTCTGTTTTACATGGTGTATTTAATACTGTAATGGAAACTTTTGGGTGCGATTGTTGCATTTTTTGGAATAAAACATAATAATATTCGGAAATTTAAATTTGCTGGAAGAATATGATTGGTCTTGGAAATGTAATTAAATTACAGAGCAATTTCAGGTGCAAGAGACGAATTTTGGATCAGATTTGAATTTGCCAGAAGCACTTGGAGATTATAAAGTGCGTCTTTTTACAAATAATTCTGCAGCAATCATAATGTTCAAAGATTTTATTAACATTTTATTTTCGAATTTTTCAGTGATAATTTATTCATATCTTGAAGTATTCAAAGCTCAACAGTATGCATGTCCTCTGGCTTAGATTCTTTGCAAATTAATATTAAGCAAAATTAAGTGCTTTAATTGTTAAACTAAGTCTGCTTGCTCATCATTCAAGCTAATTTTATCAAATTATTATTTCTAATTTAGTTCATCAATTTTTTCTTGAATTCATATCAATAAAAAATATATTAAATAGGCATAAGAGATAAATAAGCTTTGTGGGACAGAATTTAAAATTGTAATACAACTCACTGCTTTAAAGGTGAAAGAAACACAAGATCACTTTAAATTACAAATCATTGATCCGAAAGTTACTTCAAATGCATCGATGCCTGCGGCAAGTCGAGAAATCCCGCGGACTCCTCGTCGGAATTTAGATTTCCCCAGTGAACATAGTAAACGTTCCTTCCTCAAGTTGGAACCGCTAGAGCAGAGGAGATTGAGGGTTTGTTCACATATGGCAAAGTTGTTCATAATCGAATTATTTTTCGCTCGGTTATACAAATAATTATTTTTGAGGCGTCAATATGCTTGTAACTTCTTCAATTTTAATTGCAAATTTTTCAATTTCAATTTAATTTTATAAGTTTAAATAAATATGAGCGTCCTTATGCTAAATAGCAAGACAGAATAGGAACTGAAATTGAAAATTAGGAATATTAACTTCAAGTTTTAAGAATTTTTATGATTTTTAGGCAGTCGAGACGCGCCCTATCACAACCAGTACGTATTTAACGGAAAGTTTAGATCGGCATCGGGAAATGGAAACATCTCGGTTGAAAGATTACTTGAAAGCACATGAAAATGATGCAAACAAACCGTGGAATAAACCACAATGGCCTGGTCCAAAGGTATTCACTGTAATTATTAAAAAATAGATGCAATTGAGATTTTCGGTAAATAATAAAATTCTGAAATTCAACTTGATCAAATTCATCAAAGAAAAGTAAACTCAGGAAATGATACAGAAAGTTGCACATGTCGAAGTGAACGATTTACAAATTCACTGCAAAAACTGCATTGCAGAATGAAATCTTAGATGAAATTAGGATTCAAATCAAAAATATTCTAATACAAAAGTGAATAATTCAAGATGAATTTCAGATGAAAGATCCAAATGATCAGTCTCTCAGAGAACTTGCGGAGATCAAGAAGGTTAGATTTTTACTACTGCTAAATTTTTTGGTTTTTTTCAAAATATGGATTATACTCAGATGAGATATAGAAATATGAATCAGAAAAGTATAGTAATTAGTTTTTCGTTTCTTTGATGCTCACATAGAATAATAATACTAGATTGAATTAAGTCTAGCATGGTAGCCAAGAGAATGCTTGGTATTAGTGTCGAAAGTTCGCAAAAATTTTCCAAACTATTGCGTCTCATGCGCTTATTTTCCGAATTCTTGTCAGTGATTGAAATTTGCTTGGAATTTAGTTAGTTTCTGTTACTTTCAGACGATAGAAACTTTGCAGAAGGTAAGACTTTTTTCGTCAATGAATCTAACATTTATATTCTTATCACGCTAAACAGTTACGCTTACTCACGTTTATCTGCTCGTCTTAACTTGCATGCTGTTGTGTGTGCTTTATAATTTGCAAACTTTCAAAAACATACGTTTAAATTTACTGATTACTACTCTCAACCTTAGGCTAAATACATTATTATCACATTAGGGTGACTTACGCTGTTTTTTGTTAAGTTGCGCGATCTTGTAATTTTGACATAAAAATCAGATTGGAGACCAAGTTTAAAAATTTTGTTATTTATGCTTGAAATCAATCTTCTTCAGTCATCTAATATATGATTCTCTTCTTAGTTTTCTGATTAGTGTTGACCTCTCCTCTCTTTTGTTTTATTTTCGCTAGATGTTTCGTAGACTAAACTATTCATCAGTGATATGTTAATGAGTTCGTCCTTTCTGTTTCTTTCTGTTTTTGTTTTTTTTTGTTTGTGTCAGTTGGAGCTGAGATCATGACATGGCTTGATAAGAGCCTAAAGGCGTTGAAAATTTTGGAAACAGTCAAAACTGATCTTGACACACATTGGATTCGATGGAACAACCGTGAGATTATGTTATCAGAGTTGATAGACTACGTAGAATGGTAAACGTTCTGCAAATCATGCAAAAACGCAAGCCAACAAGTAGTGATCACAATCGAGTTCATGCAAAATAACGTTGAACAAAAGGAATTAATAAAATGTAAGTTTGAACTTTTCAACCTTTGTTCTAAGATTTGGAGATAACAACAAGTTTTGATAGAATATAACAATATTGAAAAATTACTGTTTCTGATTGACCAAAAAAACAGACAGATTTTATTAAGTTTGACATTAGCTATATTCTGCATTCTTCGCTACATTTCAGCACTGTGAATAATTTTTTACTGTAAGTATAAAAAGTATAAGTTATTGTTTAATTAGCTACAAAATTATACTAATCAAACTACTAGTTAGATGACAAGGTGATTAAGGATACAGAAGTTAAATTCTGTCTTGAGATCAATCAAGCAATTTTATTCGTTGACTTGATACTTGTAAACTATTTTCAACTATTTCTGTTTAATATCCTTTAGTGACGACATTTGCTTTCTAGCAGTTACAATTTTTTTCGTTTTGATAAATGCTATATCAGCATTGAATATTTGAAATTTGCACTAGGTAATACTGTAAAAGTAATTTTATTTGTATTAATAATATTTTATATTTTTTGTGCATAAAAACATAAGTATAAAATTTTTTGAAAAAGAATGTTTATTTTGAGTGTCTTCGTTAAACTCTATGCGAATTATAAACAAGTTTTTTAAAGTTGCTTCATTTTAGTGTAAACATGTGATTACGACTGATTGATCTTATCAATCAGAAACAATAATTTGAATTTTCAATATTTGTATAAAGTAATTTTGCTATCATTACATGACTTTCATTGTGATAAGCTCATTTTATTTGCGGTTTTTTGCCAGAACGGGAATTAACTTTAAAATGGCTTCAAAAATTAATTACATTAAATCAGAAGCTTTTAAGCTACAATGAAGAATGTAAGACTTTAACAAGTTAAGAGATATTTTTCTTAT